GAATGGATAGAATACCGTGAACTGTGGGCCTCTTCTAAAATCAACTCTCGAAGCCCATCAACATTGGGTACACAAACCCGACCCTACATCCTCAATACCCAGTCATCACCAATGGTCACATCTCTGGCATAACCATGCAGAACCTTGTCCTTGAGGACAAGCAAATGAGGGTCATCATGCTGACGCTCTTAGATACGATCAAACAAGGAAGACTGAGAGACCACATAAGCTAGGACCCGACTGGGCTCGAAATATCCAATCGCATAAACTGGCTGGCTAAGGCTTGAACATCCATCGCCATAGGCCTCTCCGCTGCGGGTAGCTAAGCCAAACTCCCAAACTCTCTGCCCGGCGACTCAAAGCATCGGCCACCATATTGGCCTTGCCCAGGTGATACAAGATAGTGATATCATAGTCCTTCAGCAGATCTAACCACCTCCTCTAACGCAAAAAGGTCCTTATGCTTGAATAGATGCTGCAAACTTCGGTGATCAGTATAAATCTCACAAGGGACACCATACAAATAATGATGCCAGATCTTCAAGGTGTGAACAATGGCAGCTAACCCGAGATCATGAACATGATAATTCTTCTCATGTATCTTCAACTGTTTGGACATGTAGGCAATCACCCTACCGACCTGCATCAATGTGATGACCCAAAGGTCATCACTTGTTTTAAAAGTAAATTTTGTATTCCGAGGCCTTATAAAACCTCCTTTTATATTACCCCGATTTGCGTGCATGGTCTAGGCGTATATCTAGAACGCTTTTATGTGAAAATTTGATAAAAATGCTAATTTAGCCTTAAAAATTAAATTTAAGTTGACTTCGGTCAACATTTTAGGTAAACGGACCCGGACCCATGATTTGACGATTTCGGAGGGTTCATAGAAAAATATGGGACTTGGGTGTATTCCCGGGATTGAATTCCGAGGTCCGAAGCCCGAGAAATGAATTTTTGAAGAAAATTATTTAACTGAAATTTTAAGAGTTTTTGGAAATCTAAATGTATTTGAAATTGATGGTATCGGGCCCGTATTTTGGTTCCAGAGCCCGGTAGAGGTCTTATGGTATTTAGGTTGAACATGTAAAATTTGGTAAGAAACGAACTTGATATGACGTGAATCGGACCCTCGGTTGTTAAAATTTGAACTTAAGAGTTCTTAAGTTTCTTCTTTGATTTTGATGCTAAATCATTGTTAAAGGTGTTAATTTGGAGATTTGATCGCATGAGTAAGTCCATATGATGTTTTTAAGTTAGTGTGGATGTTTGGTTTGGAGCCCCGAGGGCTTGGGTGAGTTTCGGATAGGCCACAGGATGTTTTTACACTTAGAAAAGTTGCAAGTTTTGCTGTCTCAGATTCTCAGTGATTTTGGTCTTCATGTTCACGTGGCTTCACTCGCGAACGCGTAAGGCAAGTTCCTCAGGTGTCTGTTTGTTCATCGCGAACGCAGAGCACAGGACGCAAACACGAAGCTTTGGGGGGAGTTACCCTTCGCGAACGCGATAAAGGCTTGCCCAGTCATTTTAAAACAGAACCAAAAATCGGACAGAACCCATTTACTCCATATTTTCGAACTCCCAAGGCCTAGAGGCGATTTTCTTCACACAAATTCATCCCCAAAGTGTTGGTAATCAATTCTAAACTTTACCCTTTCAATTACCTAATGTTGTTTATCACTTTTTAATAAAAAATCAAGAGTTTTCATGGTAGAAATTAGGAATTTAGGTAGAGTTAGGGCTTTTTGAAAATTGAAATTTAGACCTCGTTTTGGGGTCGGATTTCGAAACTAATTACATATTTGGGCTCGTGGTGAATGGGGGATCGAGTTTTGGTCTGAACCTCAAGTTTTGACCAAGAGGGACCAGGGTCGATTTTTGACTTTTTGGGAAGAATGATAGAAGATGAAGGTAGCAGAAATGAGGATGTTGAGGTGGATGTGCGGGCATAGTAGGATTGATAAGATTAGGAATGATGATATTGGGAGAAGGTGTGTGTGGATCCCATTGATGACAAGATGCGGGAAGCAAGGCTCAGGTGGTTCGAGCACGTTCAGAGGAGAAGCCCAAATGCTCTGGTAAGGAGGTGCGAATGGCTGGTTGTGGAGGGCTCGAGAAGAGGTAGAGGGCGGCCTAAAAAGTATTGGGGGGAGGTGATTAGGCAGGATATGGAGATGCTTCAGATTTCCGAGGACATGGCACTTGATAGGAACATGTGAACGTCGAGTATTAGGGTTGTAGGCTAGGAGGTAGTTGAGTCTTGCCTTATGCCATAACATNTATATATATATATATATATTTTCTTTCATATTTATTCTGTGGTGTTACTAATATTGTCTTCTTTTGTCTTTTTGTCTTCTTGAGCCGAGGGTCTTTTGAAAACAACCACTCAAATCCATCGAGGTAGGGGTAAGGTCTGCATACACACTACCCTCCCCAAATCCCACTAGTGGGATTTCACTGGGTTGTTGTTGTTGTTGTTGTTGGGAAGAATGATATAAAACCTATAATTTAGCATTGGGGTTGAATTCTTTAGAATTTATTGATGTTGTTAAACCAATTTGGGCTAGATACGAGTAAATTGGAGGCGAATTCTAAAGGAAAAGCGGTGATTGAGGCTTGAGTTGGTCGTGGAAGTTCGAGGTAAGCGTTTGGTTTAACCTTAGTTTGAGGGAATAGGTATTGTGCTATATTTTCTATGTGTTAGTGTAATGTACGACGTATAGGTGTGGTGACGAGTACCTATACATCATTTTTAAGCATGCCCGTGAGTCTTAAATTGTAATCGTTGTGTTTTAATAAGTACTACAAATGTCTAAGTTGTTGATTCTCCGTGCTGGGCAAGAATTATGATTATTCTCGTGGTATTTGTTTATTGTTGAGTATTGGTTCCAGTTGAGGTTTCATTTGTGAATTTAAACGTTGGTACAAGTTTGGTTATAGCTGATTCCCTTGCCGGGACGTATTTAATTCTTACTGTTGGTTCCCTTGTCGGGATTCTTTTGTGATGGGTGTTGAATTGTATATTTGGATCGGGTTGCATTCCGCAACAATATTATATGGGATCGGGTTGCACGACACAACACAAAGTAATAAGGGAGGACATGAGGGGTCGGATTGCACGCCGCAACAGTGACATGATTGGATCGGGTTTGTCACACCTCCTTTTTCTACCCCGAAAGAGGTATAAGGGAGTTTTTCTAATTAAAGTGACATTATCGAAACGCGATTATTTTATTCAATTTCAGAGTCGCCACTTGAGATAATTTATAGTGTCCCAAGTCACCGGTTTAAAATCCCGAATCGAGGAAGTTTGACTCTGTTTTACAGCCTGCGAACACAGAAATCTGAGTAAGGAATTCTGTTAACCTAAGAGTGTCACGAACCCGGTTCGCCCTCCGTGAACCATCATGACGACACCTAGTCCTCTACAACTAGGTAAGCCTAAATTGCGAAAGATAACCAAAGTGCGAAATAAAAACAAATTAAAATAGAATGAAGAGTGATAAAATAGTGTTTAAAAGTGCCACTCGGCATACACAATATCTAACTCTCAAAGAAATACATTCTTCCAAGACCCGGAAACCCATGAATCACAAGCTAAGGATCACTACATAGTACTCTAACTCCAGAATATCTAAAAGGGAAAAGAAATACAGAAGGGCAAATGTTTAAAAACTAGAATAGGAAGGGACTCCTCGGTCTGCGGACGCAACAGATATACCTCGAAGTCGCTGGAGTAGTTGCCTCGCCTCAGAGATGGTAGGACTGAGTCACAGTACCTGGATCTGCACATGAAAAACATGCACTGAAGGGGCATGTGTACACTACAACGGTAATCAGTAAGTGCCAAGCCTAACTTCGGTCGGGTAGTGCCGAGGAAGGTCAGGGCCCTACTGAGGTTAAACAAAGTATAAAGTTTGATAGTGTAGAATGGAATAGTATAAATAAATATAGCAGTAAAAGTAACACAAGATATAAAAAGGGCAATAACAAATATTACAGAGACAAGGAAAAACACGGAAATAAATGCGACTTAGCACTAAAATAACAACCGGGGATCTCCTAGGATACCGTCCAGTAGTCCCTTATGTACATATCTAATGGATCTCCCGGGATCCTATCCCGTAGTCTAACTCATAGTGCGCGGGGATCTACCGGATTCCCGTTTCGTAGTCCCAAATGTAAATACCCAGTACTAGGGGAAACTACCGGGCGCATTCCCGTAGTTCCGTATAACTGTGCAGGGGGGTCTACCGGAATCCCACATCCGTAGTCCCAAAATAAACAGCCAAGGGGAGCTACCGGAATCCCACATCAGTAGTCCCAATGTAAATGCAGCAGCAACAGGAAAAATATTCAGAAATGGCAAATTTCATATTAAGGCAAATAAGTAATCCTAGCCTAGCATGCTGCATAGAATTCAGGTAAGGCAGTTTGAGCAAGTAAAGCAATTAAGTCACTTAGACATGCTTTCCTAAGCTAACAACAGACTTAATAGTGCAAGTAATAGAAATAGGAAAGGAAATATACTAGTAATTACTTAAAGAAAACCGGATTTCCAATAATTAGCACAAGTACGCACTCATCACCACATGTACAAGGCATTTCAATTACCAAATATACCAAATCCTAAGGGGAAGGTCCCCCCCACAAGGTTAGACAAGCCACTTACCTCGAATCGGCTCAAAATCAACCCGATACCACGCTCTTGCCACGAGTACTAGACTCCAAATGGCCCAAATGTATTCAATTCAATTTGCATAATGTAAATAACCCTTCAAGTAACTGATTCTACAAAGAAATTCTAAGCTAATACACGAAATAAGGTAAAATGACCGAAATGCCCCTCGGGCCCACGTCTCGAAATCGGGTATAATTTATATTTTTAGAATCCTCACGCACTCACGAGTTCATTCATACCAAAACTATCCAAATCTAAGGTCAAATTCCCAAACAAAAGTCGAATTCTAGGTCTAAGAACTTTCTTCCAACTTTTCCCCAATTTTCATCTCCTATCCGAAATTAAATGATGAATTCATGTGTTTTTTTGGCAGTTCGCTAGGCAATGCCTAGGGCTAGTTTTTGTATATATAAATCAAAACAAAACGAAATATACAATGTCAGGTGGTCTTGCAAAATGGAAATAATAACCTATGATTATTACATAATACCTATTACCAATTTTGAGCAACGGACTCAAAATTGGTATCACATATGAACTGATGTACACATTGATGAAAAAACCTAGCCCATGCATCAGATTAGCACGCGTGTCCAATTTCAAAACTTGCATACTGCACATAAAGCCTCTTAGCCTTGTAGCCACTGCCCAGCTTTTGACTTTGTAGCCCCCTTGTATTTGAATTCTTGCTTTTGCCCAGTTTTGTTGATGGTGTTTGCTTGTATATGCCCTCATGATCCTCCATAGTAAAGTAGAAATGCCATGGCTCATCAACTGAATATCCTCAGCATTTGTGTATCCCAATTCCTTTGCATGTGGTAATATTGCTGCCCATCGCCTGTTGTGTGTGCTGCTCGTGTATTTTGTTGTCCACAATTGAAGGATTATCCAAGTACTAAAAATGTACAGAAAATGAGACCCCAAGTTCCTTGTTTTAATATCCCAATGCGCTTGACTACACTGTCCATAACATTACTTGGTATATGAACCCACGCTTGACAACCTTTTCCTCCTTTTAGTACATTAGCATGTAGTGCATTTACAGCATGATTGCAAAGCTGAATGCCTTGCATATCCCAAGTATTAAAATATTTACCTTCTTCAGTTTTCCGGTACCTCATGGTGACTCCATTTACATATACCATATCTTTGCTCGTTGTTGAGCTCCTCGTCTGTTCTTCAGCTTTGTACCAGTAGGTACAGTTATTTTTAAGTGCAATTGAGTTCTTCTGCAAAGCTCTGTTTAAACTTTGCTGTGATGTTTCCTTTATGCATGAAGAGATGTCCTTGCCATAACAGCCATTTCGATTTGATTGATGTTGTGTCCTGCTGTTTCTGTATCTTCCGTTGGTGACTCTTGATATGTGACTTCTTGTAGTGCATTTCTGTAATGAGATCATATTTCTCACCAGCCAAATGTTATCCTTATGTCGTTGACACTTCCTGCAGCAAACTATCAGATGCTTACAGGTGAAGTTCCAGATCTTACAGGTGAAGTTCCAGATCCACTTCCCTAAACCATTGTATCCTATCGATGCTTTCATGCTTGAGCTCACCACTGACTTCACTACCTGGGAGTGAGCAGACCATGCTAATACCACCCAAGTAAGTTTAATCAGCTGGTGAGCCATGGTTACACCAATGATCCCTGCAACAAAGAACACGACGTTAGCTAAAGTACATAACATTGTGATCTCCTGTAAATGATCACAGCATTCCTCTTGGTCCCCTTTCTCTCCTTTGTTACCCATCTGTTTCCCTCTTAGTTCTTGGCAGCCTTCACCCTCAAATAAGAACATTGCGATTTATCCGAGTTCACAATCCTCCTACTATTTGAATCAAGTTGTGCAAATCCTTGAGCTTCAAAGTCACCACTATCCAGTGCACAATTCGCTATATAATCTTCTAGATTATTGCCCTCCCTTAGAATATGAGAAACTCGAACATTGCATTCCTCCATTAGTGTTTTAATCTCCTCAACGTACTCATTAATATTCCACGGATCTCCCCATTTTCTTTCTAAAACATTCTTCATGAGCATGGAGTATGTTTGTAGCATAACATTTGCGAGTCTATTGTCTACACAGTACCTCATTGCTTCCAAAATCGCTACTGCCTCTGCCTCATTATTTGTACCATGTGTTATTTCCTTTCCTAGTGCGTAGATTACATTTCCTTGTTCATCTCGCATCACAATCTCCTCCTCTTACGCGAATGCGGGAACACCATCACGAATGCGTAGGTATAAGACCTGTCAGCTTCGCGAACGCGGGAGAAACTTCACGAACATGAATCATTAAATCTCCCCCATCCCCAGCTCCTTTTTACGAACGTGAGACCCCACTCGCGAACGCGAAGAAGGAAACTAGAACTGGGATGCTGCAATTTTCTGCAATTTCTCTAAATTCAAAAATGACCCGTTGAGCATCCAAAACACACCCGAGACCCCTGGGACCTCAACCAAACCTGCCAACCAATCCTAAAACATCATTCATACTTGTTCCAACCTTCGGAACGCTCAAAAAAACATCAAAACACCTATTTTTCACCAGATTAAAGCCTAAGAATTCCAAAAACTCTAAAAATACGCTTTGGATCAAAAAGTCTAACAAACCTCGTCCGAATGACCTGAAGTTTTGCACACATGTCACATTAAATACTACAGAGCTACTCCAACTTCCGGAATTCTATTCCGACCCTCGGATCAAAATCTCACTATAGAACCGGAAACTTCAAAATTTCAACTTTTGGAATTTCAAGCCTAAATTAGCTACGGACCTCCAAAACACAATCCAAACATGCCCCTAAGCCCGAAATCACTCAATGGAGGTAACAGGACCATCAGATTTCCATTCTGAGGCCGTCTTCATACTATTCCGACTACGGTCAACTCTCCAACACTTAAGCTCTCATTTAAGAACTAAGTGTCCCAAAAATCTCCAAAAATCAAAATCGAACATCCTGACAAATCAAATAGCAGAAATAAACTTGGGAAAAGTAGTTAATAAGGGATCGAGGCGTTAATTCCTAAGATGACCGGCCGGGTCGTCACAGAGAGAAGGTGTTAAGCATTCCCGGGTTCTGTGGTTTTAGCATGGTCTCTCAACTATTATTATTGGTCTAATTATCTAATTTATCACATGTTTAAAACCTATTGTGCATTTTATTTCTGCTACCACTTTTAATTATTTTCTGGAACAAGGCACGATTGTCATACACTTGTCGATTTGGTACACATTGCGAATCGCGTCACGGGAACCATACTCACGATCTTCAACATGTTTAATTTTATTATTATTATTATTATTTAAAATTATGGTAGGGTCACATGAAATGCACACCAGAATTGAGATTTATGTATCACGACCATGCCACGGGAACCGTACCCATAGCCACGATGATTTTTGTTAATTGCTCCTAAAGCAACTAGCGCAATTAATTATTTAATTTTCTCATACCACTGATATAGAGCTAGCGTGTAACTAAGAGACAAGCCCCGAAGATATGCCCAAATATAATTCATGACACCAGATTAATGCCCAAAGCACTAACAACATCAGATTAACAAATTGTTTTAGTTCTGCACCCTCCACACACACACAAATAACACACAAAGAGAAAGCAATGCTATTGTTTGATAATAGAATCCATATCCAAGCAAGAAGATAACAAAGACTTCAAACTCAGTTTGTTAAGCAGTAGCCTAAAAAGACGTGTTTCCTGAAATTAGAGAAGTTCGTCTACTACAAGACCTGGAGTTACCTTTCTTTCATGGGGAAAATGACTTCCATTACAGCTATATCAACGTTTAATTTTAATATAAAACTTAAAAATAAATAAATATAAAAATGTCAATAGATAGCAGATCCAAAGCTAGTTATATTCACATTACAACAATACACGAAACAATTTGAAAATTAATTTTTAACAAACTCAAATATCATGGCATTCAGGCTAGAGCTATCTTGAACATGACAAAATATTTAGCTAGTCACAAAATATGCATAAACTTGATTTTACACTTATTAAAATTAACAATAATGTATGAAGTTAAGCACAAGTTTGAGAGATGGACCTTAATTTGTTGAACAAAATTCCGAAATTCCAAAATCAAATGTCGGGCTCAAACCACGGAAAGCCAGAGACCTCAAATAGCACTTCGTCAGCTCAATTCCTATCTCGAGACTTTGAACTCCGAAATTGTCACTCAAATCTAAGCAACCAAAAAAACTTGAACCGAATGAAAAGCTAATTGGTTTTCAATTTTGGGTTGAGGAGGTGGGTGTTTGTGTCTATATGTGATGAGGAAAAGCAAGAATCTGAAAATGGGAGTTCTAAAGTGGTGGAAGAAGTTAAAATTTAGCTATGGAGAAAGATTAAACTTCCAATTTAATAGATTATCCCTTCCGTTCCACTCTCTTTATTCTCTTTCTATTTCATCATTTTTTTGTTTTTCCCTGCCATAGTTTCTCTTGTCCGTTCTTCACTTTGGAATTTAGGAATCGAATGAAAGACTGCCTTCGTTCTTCTCTTTTTCCAAATGTTGTTGCTGTTTTTTGTATTAGTCTCGCCTCTCCTTTTTTTTTCGGAATTAGGCATTATTTTATAGGGGGTTAGGAATTAGGTTAGGTCAATTGGGGAATGTGTATGGGCTCAATATTTTGGGCTATCAGAAATTGGGCCTTGGATTTAGGGAATTGGGTTGGACCATGTCTTTTGGGTTTGAATATAGTCCACGAAGACCAAATAGTACAATGTATCTATAAAATGAAAAATCACTCTAAATTAAAATAAACTAATAAAACTAAATAATAAAAGTGAAACTAATTTTTGTATTTTAAATGTTATAATACTTTAAATATAAATATACTAATTGACTTTAACCTAAAGATGAAACAAATATTTTTTGTAATTTTTATTTTTGTTATAAAATAAAGTAAAAGAGTCAAAACTATTTGGAATAGCGATACTAAACCTAAATTAAATATTTACGTTAAAATGTGCAAAATTTTAGGGAGGGTCAAAAATTACATGTCTGCAGCTGCCCCTCTTTTTCTAGAAACACGAAGAGTTTTCAGACAAAGAACGACGAGACACGTTTTTTTGACCCGACCCTTATTTAGAGAGACCAAAACTAAGAGAAAGGAGAATGTGACCGAGCCCTGGTATCTGAGCTACCTACATATCCTTGGCTAGCTCAGAAGTAGGAACTGTGATGGAGTATACCAAGGTGGAGAGCCGATTGAGGTGTCGTTCCGTCGAGGTTCCAGTCCGCGGTCCTGTGTTACGACCCGGCCTGTCATCTTAAAAATTTACGCCCCAATCCCCTGTTATCTGCTTTCTCCATGTTTATTTCTGCTATTTTGAATTTACCGGGATGTTCGGTTTTGAATTTCGGAGTGTTTTGGGACACTTAGTCCCTAAATGAGAGCTTAAGTGTTGGAAAGTTGACCGTAATTAGAACAGTATGAAGACGGCCTCAGAATGGAAGTCCAATGGTTCTGTGAGCTCCGTTGGGTGATTTCGGGCTTAGGGGCGTGTTCAGATTGTGTTTTGGAGGTCTGTAGCTAATTTAGGCTTGAAATGCCGAAAGGTCAAATTTTGAAGTTTCCGGTTCGATAGTGAGATTTTGATCTGAGAGTCAGAATGGAATTCCGGAAGTTGGAGTAGCTCTGTAGTGTTGAATGTGACGTTTGTGCAAAATTTTAGGTCATTTGGACGAGGTTTGATAAACTTTTTGATTGAAAGCATATTTCTAGAGTTTTAGAGTTCTTAAGCTTGAATCCATGGTTGATTTGTCGTTTTGATATTGTTTTAGGTGTTTTAAGGATTGGTATAACTTTGGACATTGGTATTAGACTTGTTGGTGCTTTTGGTTGAGATCCCGGGGGCCTTGGGATGATTTCGGATGGTTGACAGAAGGATTTTGGAGTTTAGAGTTGTAGCTTCAACTGCTGGTTTTCTGTCATAACCGTACCTACGAGTGCGGCACCGCAGAAGTGGCTAAGTGGCCGCAGAAGCGAGTTTAGTCCAAGCTCCAGGATTTCGCAGGTGCGGCTGGGTTTTCGCAAATGCGGTGCCGCAGATGCGGCCCAGCGACCGCAGATGCGGACCCAGCCCGTTAACTGACTTTTTGCACCTGCGATGCATTCTTCCGTAGGTGCACTCCCTTAACCGTAAATGTGGTAATAGCTAGGCAGAAATATGAAATTTCGAGAGTTTAATTTCAAAAGTTAGAAATTCGATTTGGAGCTCAGGGAGAGGGCGATTTTGAGAGGAAATTGAAGAGGAGATCAGTGGGTAACAATCTTTAACCCTTTCTAGTTATATTCCATCAATCTATAGTAGCTTTATTATTTAATTTCGGATTGGAGATGGAAATTGGGAAAAGTTGGAAGAAAATTCTTAGACCTAGAATTCGACTTTTGATTGAGAATTTGACCTTATATTTGGATAATTTTTTATGCACGAACTCGTGAGAGTATGAGGATTCTGAAAATATAAATTTTACCCGATTCCAAGACGCGGGCCCGAGGGGCGTTTTGGCCATTTTACCTAATTTCGCGTATTAGCTTAGAATTTAATTGTAGAATTAGTTACTTGAAGTGTTATTTATATTATGCAATTGAATTGAATAGATTTGTGCCATTTGGAGTGGAATACGCGTGGCAAGAACGTGATTTCGAGTTGATTTTGAGCTGGTTCGACGTAAGTGGCTTGCCTAACCTTGTGTGGGGGACCTTCCCCTTAGGATTTGATATATTTGGTAATTGAAATGCCTTGTACGTGAGGTGACGAGTGCGTACTTGTGCTACTTGTTGGAAATCCGATTTTCATTAAGTAATTACTAGTATGTTTCCTTTCCTGTTTTTATTACTTGCACTATTAAGCCTGTTGTTAGCTTAGGAAAGCATGTCTAAGTGACTTAATTTCTTTACTTGGTCAAATTGCCTTGGCTGAATTCGGTGCAGCATGTTAGGATAGAATTACTTGTTTGCCTTAATATGAAATTTGCCATTTCTGAATATTTTCCTATTGCTGCTGTGTATTTACATTGGGACTACGGATGTGGGATTCTGGTAGCTACCCCCTTGCCTGTTTATTTTGGCACTACGGATGTGGGATTCCGGTAGATCCCCCTGCACAGTTATATGGAACTACGGGAATGCACCCGGTAGATTCTCCCAGTACTGGGTATTTATATTTGGGACTACGGAACGGGATTCCGGTAGATCCTCGCGCACTATGAGTTAGACTACGGGACGGGATCCTAGGAGATCCATTAGATATGTATATTTGGGACTACAGGACGGTATCCTGGGATATCCTCGATTATTATTTTGGTGCTGAACCTTACTTCTTTATGTGTTTACCTTGTCTATGTAATAGTTGTTGTTGCCCTTTATATCTTGTGTTACTTTTATTGATGTACTTATTTATACTGTTCTGTTCTACACTCTTGAATTTTATATTTTATTTAACCTCAGTAGGGCGCTGACCTTCCTCGTCACTACCCGACCGAGGTGAGGCTTGGCACTTACTGAGTATTGTTGTAGTGTACTCATGCTCTTTCTGCACATGTTTTTCATTTTCAGATCCAGGTACCTTGACTTGGACTTACCATCCTTGAGGCGAGGTGACCCATCAGAGACTTCGAGGTATATCTGCCGCGTCCGTAGACCGAGGAGTCTTTATCTATTCTCTCTTGTAGCTATAGATCTTCTGTATTTACTTGTTTTAGACTATCCTGGAGTTAGAACACTATGTAATATCCTTAGCTTGTGATTTATGGATTTCCGGGTTTTGGGAGAGATATATATAATGGATTTGAGAGTTATATTTTGTATGCCGAGTGGCACTTTTAAAACGCTGTTTTATTACATTATTCCTGTTTTAAATTATATTCTTCCGCAAATCAGTTTATCTTCCGCGTTTTAGGCTTACTTATAGAGACTAGGTGCCATCACGATGGTTCACAGAGGGCGAACCGGGGTCATGACATCCTATTATTACATCAAAAATGAAAAAGACTAACTAAGCCTGTCAGCTATGAGTTACAAGATTCATATCTATATGTCTTCTTAAGCTGGATCTTGAGTCTTGAATGGTTCTTCATGAAGACTTTTGAATTTAACCTTGGTGCTTGCTAGCTTCAGGTGTTGGTTCATTCTTCCACGGCTTCTTCGGATCAAGTCCGGACACGCAGGGATCGTGACTTCAGCCATGTCTTAGCAGCTCATATCTTTCATCTGCTTTTGCATTTGGATTCACTTCCCTCTTTTTTCCTTTTATTTCTTTTTTCTTGGATTGAGACTTCTTCTTTGGTCATATAAAACCCCTGTGCCTCGAGATAAAAACCTTATTCTTCAAGCAACTCGTGCTACCTCCGATTTGAAACTTGAAATGAATTCTGAAATGACTTCCCCCATTCTCCAGGTGGTGCCTGCTACTGACTGAAAACTTGAAATAAATTCCTTTGTTTTCTAGGCGGGCGCCTGATGCTCAAACTTTGAGATGAATTCCCTTGTTTTTTAGGAGGACGCCTGCAACTTAAACTAGAAATGAATTCACTTGTTTTCTAGGTGGGCGCTTGCAACTTAAACTTTGAGATGAATTCCCTTGTTTTCCAGGTAGGCGCCTGCAACTTAAACTTGAAATGAATTCCCTTATTTTTCAGGTGGGCGCCTGATGCCAAAACTTGAAATGTATTCCCTTGTTTTCCAGGTGGGCGCCTGATGCCAAAACTTGAAATGTATTCCCTTGTTTTCCAGGTGGGCGCCTGATGCCAAAACTTGAAATGTACTCCCTTGTTTTCCAGGTGGGTGCCTGATGCCAAAACTTGAAATGTATTCCTTTGTTTTCCAGGTAGGCGCCTAATGCCAAAACTTGAAATGAATTCCCTTGTTTTCCAGGTGGGCGCCTGATACCAAAACTTGAAATGAATTCCCTTGTTTTCCAGGTGGGCGCCTGATACCAAAACTTGAAATGAATTCCCTTGTTTTCTAGGTGGGTTCCTGATGCCAAAAATTGAAATGTATTCCCCTGTTCTCTAGGTAGGCGCCTGATGCCAAAACTTGAAATGTATTCCCTTGTTTTCCAGGTGGGCGCCTGATGCCAAAACTTGAAATGTATTCCCTTATTTCCAGGTGGGAGCCTGATGCCAAAACTTGTAATGTAATCCCTTGTTTTCCGGGTGGGTGCTTGATGCCAAAATTTGAAATGTATTCCCTTGTTTTCCAGGTGGTTGCCTTCCATTACAACAAAATAGACAAAACAAAAGAAATTTTTCTGCCTCAGTTTGGTACTGGGAACATCTGCGAGTGTTAATCAAATCATGTTATTCAAAAGAACTCTAAGAATTTAAAAGCTAAATCCCATTATCCAGGAGGGCCTAAAAATTTAAAATTAAATCTCATCTTAAGAGTGAAAACTTCCAAGCTAAATTCTATTTCCTAAAGGTAAAACTTACGCTAAATCTTATTATCTATAGAGGTCTTATTAACTTAACTAAATCCTATTATCCAGGAGGGTCCTGAGAATTTTTAATTAAATTCCATTATC